TTTTTTATATCTTTTAACTCTTCAATGGTTTCCCTGAATTCATTGTGGAAGTCCATTTTGTGTCTCTTATGTGGTGGTTCCTTATCATCTCTCTGGGGCATAGTTTTTGATGTTGAAGGTATCTTCGATGTTGATGGTTCATCAAGACTATTTTCGCAGGACTCTGGTTCAAGGGATACAGGTACACCACATTCTGGATTATTTAATCCCACGCAGCAGCCTTTTTTTTAATGAATACTTTAGATCTGACCAAGACTACAAACGAAAGCTCTAATAAGTTATAAAAAATCTAAGTATTTGAGACTTTGGTTTACCTTTTGCCATTTTTCAGTAGGTTTTGTTTTATATCCTAGATTCTAGATCATTCAGATTATGCGCCAATTCATCCCAATGTTTTTATACAAATCCTTTACTCGAGGACCAACAAATTTACCTGTAGCCAGGAAAGAGTGCTTCTCCATGGCCTCTAACATAATTTGCCAAGTGCAAATTATGTTAGAATGACATTTTTATAAAAAATAATGACATTTTCATAAAAAATAATGACATTTCCTCAATGACCAAAAAATAAAAAATTGCTGATTTTACTATTCCTAACAATTGGGTACTTCACTTGTTTTTCACATGAAACCATAAAACATAGAAATATTCATGCATAAAACGTGCAAAACACAAATTTCCACGTGAATGTAGGACCTCCTTAAGACAAATTCCGACGATAACCGATCATTCTTCCGTGAGAGAGTTAGAATAGCAATGTACTATCGTTTCGATTCGCGTCTCGTCTCGCACCGATAAGATACGATCAATTGTTAGAATTCCACCTCTGAAGCGGTAAGAATCGCACAGCTGTAATGAATCCATTGGTTAGACCCATCACATGGACAGTATTGGTCATTGTTTATATTGAGTTCACATTTCAGAGACAACATAGTTTTAGCAAATTGTTGGGCAACCCTGTTTGTATCTAATGGTTCAGTATTCATTAATGGAATAAAAAAAAGTTTTTCCCAGATGTGTTTTTTGTTAGCTCTATAAAAACACTATGAATATCACTGTTTGTTGTGAAAATTGATATTATAAACACGATTATCTCTTCAGTTTATCAATTTCTGTAGATCAAACTTCACATCTCCAAAGATGAACACTTTATGAACATTTTGATACAAGATCCAACTATTGATACGCATTACAGACAACCGAAATAGGTACAAGAAACCATGTGCTAAATACTAAGATTGAACCAGTTCCAAGTTCTAAATGTACAGATATTAATATATTAAAGAAATGCACTGTATATTAAAAAAAATGAAAACAGGTTCAAGAAAAATGAGGACTTGCACTCGCATGACTCACATATGAAAAGAAGTCTACACCAGAGTTACTCACGATTACAAATCTGCCGGAACTCGCCTGACTTCATAAGAGAAATTATATAATAAATTTAAATGTACATTTGAGCTTAAACGATATTCCTATAATATGTCTAATATATCATTTAGCATTAAAGTCTAACGTTTTCTGACAGAACAAATATTTTATAGAAGAGTTTNTATTTTATCTCGATCTTAGTGAGACATATTTTCCCATGTAAATGATTGAAATAAAAGTACATAACTTTGTTTGGAAATCAGTACATCCCACAAAGAAGCATATTGTTCAAATATTGGATCAGGAATCGACTCATAATATTACTTTGAGGACCAATTTTGTCACTGCCAATACATACGTAAATATGCTCTATTGTAGGAGGGATTTTTATGATGTGTGCATTTAGATTCTGTAGTAAGAAAGAAGTTATTTATAGATAATTTGTCATAGGTTCAACTGGTATAACTAAGTTAAAGTATACCTGTTTGTATAGCTAATGTTATTTTTCTGAAATTTCCATATACAAAATTCATCCATTAATGTTATGTACCAGTAGTTTCACTTATATAATTTTCAAAATGGCTTTGGATACATATAATTCTATATTGTTGAAAATGTTATATCAATATATGTATAACCCTCGATCTTATGAAATGGAATATGCGGGTATACTGAAATACAATTTGTAAAATGTGTCATCAAATTACAAGATACATGATTCTCTTTCAGAAAAACATGTGAAGTGTATATTTCTTATGAAATAAAAATATTGAATGTGTCCGCAAATCGCAGAATACATGATTCTCTTTCAGAAATACAGATGGGAAGTGTCATATTACTAATAATTTATATTTGGCATGAAATATTACATTCGATCTTATGAAATGAAATATGTAGGTCATACCAAAATACAATTTGTTGAATGTTTATTCAAATCGTAGGATACATGACTCTCTATCAGAAAAACAGATTGTGAAGTGTTGTTTTGCTAATATTTTGAATTTATTGTCAGATATAACACTTGATCTTATAAAATGGAATATGTGGGTCATACTGAAATACTATTTGTTGAATGTGCCTTCAAATCGCAAGGTACATGATTTTCTTTCAGAAAACAGATTATGGGTGTTTTATTGCTAATTTATATTTGTTGTGAGATATAATACTCGATCTTATGAAATGGTATATGTGGGTCATACTGAAATACAATTTGTTGAATATGTCTTCAAGACGAAAGATACATGATTCTCTTTCAGATAAATAGATCTTTAGTGTTTTATTGCTAATATTTTATGTTTGTTATAAAATATAAGACTCGATCTTATAAAATGGAATATATGGTTATACTGATGAACAATTTGTTGAATGTATCCTCAAATCGCAAGATACTGATTCTCTTTCAGAACTACAGATGTGAAGTGTTATATTGCTATTTTATATTTGGTACGAAATATAACGCTCGATCTTATAAAATGGAATATGTAGGTCATGCTGAAATACAATTTGTTGAATGTGTCTTCAAATCGCGAGATACATGATTTTCTTTCAGGAAAACAGATGTGAAGTGTTGTACTGCTAATATTTTAAATTTATTGTGAGATATAACACTTGATCCTATGAAATGGTATATGTGGATCATACTGAAATACAATTTGTTTAATATGTCTTCAAGACGAAAGATACATGATTCTCTTTCAGATAAATAGATCTTCAGTGTTTTATTGCTAATATTTTATATTTGTTATGAAATATAAGACTCTATCTTATAAAATGGAATATGTGGTTATACTGATGAACAATTTGTTGAATGTGTCCTCAACTTGCAAGATATCTGATTCTCTTTCAGAACTACAGATGTAAAGTGTCGTATTGCTAATATTTTATATCTGGTATGAAATATAATATTCGATATTATAAAATTGTCTTGGTGGGTCATACTGATATACAACTTGTAGAATGTGTCGTCAAAACGCAAGATACATTATTATCTTTCAGAATAACATGTTGGGTGTTGTATTGCTAATATTTTATATTTCTTATGGAATATAACACTTGATCTTATAAAATGGAATATGTATGTCATATTGAAATACAATTTGTTGAATGTGTCTTCAAATCGCGAGATACATGATTTTCTTTCAAGAAAACAGATGTGAAGTGTTGTACTGCTAATATTTTAAATTTATTGTGAGATATAACACTTGATATGACACTGATACTGAAATACAATTTGTTAAATATGTGTTCAAACCGCAAGATACATGATTCTTTTTTAAGAAAACAGGTGTTGGGTGTTGTATTGCTAATATTTTATATTTGTTATGAGATATAATACTCGATCTTGTGTCTTCAAACCGCAAGATACATGATTATCTTCAGAAAAACAGATGTTGAGTGTTGTATTGCTAATATTTTATATTTGTTATGAAATATAAGACTCGATTTTATAAAATGGAATAGGTGGTAATACTGATGAACAATTTGTTGAATGTGTCCTTAAATCGCGATATATCTGATTCTCTTTCAGAACTACAGATGTAAAGTGTCGTATTGCTAATATTTTATATTTGGTATGAAATATGAAGAGTCCAGCGGAAAACGACCCTAGTCCCATCAGACGGAATTTGAGAAAAATCAAATTCAAAGTTTCCCAACTAAAAACAATATGTCAGACTCATGAAAAAAATATGCAAAAATCAGCATTTGATCAGAAAATATGTTTATTAACACTCGTACCAAGCAAAAATAAGTTTTTGATGTGATTTTCCACAATCATTTCAAAAGATTCTCAGAAATATACGGACTGATGTCACTTTTCCCCGGCATTATGCGTCAATCGGTGGATCATCAACGTATTCGTCCTCACTTTCTTCTGGTTGGTTGATGTATGTTAAACGGCTGTAGAAGTCCTTCGCTTCTGGTCTTTCAAGGAATGATGTGAACGCTTGTTCACGTCCCACATTGCCTTCTTGATGGGTATCTGGCCATGGTACAATTTGGTCAACATCACCGCGCTATTTCTCTTTCTTGATATGGTTTGTGTAGACTTTTTCGCTAATAACGGAGATTGTTGGTACATGCCTGTGAATGTTGCCTTGCGGAAAATCTTACTGGGGTTTTCATTTCCGACTTTCAGCATTCTGAACGGCCGGGTAGCGAAGGGGCATTTAGCAGCGTATTGTGAAACAAGAAAAGCAGTCCAATTCAGAAATTCAAAATTATTTTGTCCACAGTCGATTACTTGGAAAGGGTTCGGTTTTACGCGACAGCTTTTGAATTCTTCCCTCCAGTCATCTGGCGTCTCTGTATATGTTTTTTGATTGATTAGACTCATGTTCCGATCGCATTCCAGGTAGGAATGCCCACGAATCGGAAATATAACTTTCACTGTTTCAAATCGTTTTTCTTGCACAACCATATAGCGTAAAAATCGTATAACAGTGAAGTTCTTGTTTTGCCCAGAACATGAGTCACAAAAATTTGCCAGCTCTCTAACCTTCATTGGCAAAATGTGGCAAAAGAAGTGGCACATCTAGACCGGGATCCCTCGCCCTTTTTCGTAAGTGATTACTAACAAGCTAATTTTTCGTCAGTAGCTTCATTTTGACGAGACGCCCAACATTATGATGGGTGCAGAATTTATAGTATTCCCTCAGAATATTCGGGAAAGGAATGTATTAAAAATGGCTTTCATGGAGAAATCTAGGAGAATCTAGGTTTAATCATGCCCACATTAGAGTAAGTAATTGCATCGAAGGATGTTTTGGCATCCTAAAAATGAGATTTCACTGTCTTTTGAAGGAGCGTACTTTGAGATACACAATTATGTGTGTGGATGCAAAAATACCCATCGATAAAAACGTAGGTGATCCAGACAATGATAACGGTGACGTCCTGATTGCAGAACCACTCAATAATCAAGGATAATTTGCTGTAGAACGAATGAGAGTTAGAGATATAATCGTCCAGCAGTATTACCAATGATTTTTTTTGTAAACCTATATCAAATATGTTGTGATTGGAACATTTATATTGTCATAAAATTGATTTCTTTTGCGAACATACAAATATTTAAAAAAAAACAAGTATATGATACAGTGCATATGTTAAACGTCGAAAAGTCTATGTAATATTGTCGTTTTTTGAGTTTTTTCACCAACCTGTGCAATAATTTGAATGAGGACTAAACTATCTATTTGTGAAATAAAGTGAAGATTCAAACATAATTATTAATGATATACTCCAGTACTAAATCAGGTACATTCGAACTAAAAATAAACATAGCTTTCTATAACAATAAAATGAAAATAATCTCTGATATTCCACAAAATGATGAAGAAGTACAACAAAACCATTCATTTGGTACCACAAGAATGGAAGGCTGCTCTATTCCAGTTCTGGGGAGGTACTTTCTTAAAAAATCACTTGCCCACCTAGAAGCTGTTATTTTTGTTGAATTCATTCATTTATATCATTTGTTGTTTGTTACCTGCGGCAAATAACTGTTCAAAGTTCTCAATTCATTTGCAACATCTTTCAAATTGGAAGCAATATCGCTCAAGGAAGATTTTAATGTATTTTTTATATCTTTTAACACNAATGTGTTTTCGTTTCTCAACTTTTAGAATGTGTTTAGTTTGTTTAATATTGATTTTTAAAATCTTGACTTACTAATATTCATAATCAAAATTATGACTTACTAATTTTAATTATAACTTCAATTTCACTTGTATATAGTGTTGTATATCTTTTGTTCCATCGATTATGTTGGATTTTCTTTCAGTTTTTTAAAATTCATGGTTGTAACAGTGGAACCTGTATTGTGTACTTAGTATGTTGTCTCTGGAAACAATTGCCTGAATTTGTTTTCGTATTCATGGGAATGCATCATAACTGTTGCATAATCCTTATCTGCGGGAATAATTTCAATATTGCTGTCGGATCTGAGAGATTTGAGTGCAATACTTTCAAGTTTACTTTTCAGATTACTTTCAACTTGATATGGTTGAGAAAGAACAGTTTAGCAGTCAGACCTGAAATCACCAGAAGTTTCTGTAGATACATTCTGAGATGTGGATTCTATAGCGGTAATCAGATCCAAAGTTGGAACTAATTTACCACCGTCTTTTCCCCAAATGATCATTTCGCATATTCAAGAAAAAACGTTTTTGTTTCTCTTCATATAGCTTTTGGAATTTGGATTCTGTTTCTGGTATTGTAAAAATAAATATATGATTTCTAAATGCAATCATAGATATAATTATAATCGGACGGAAGGAGATGTTGAATCATCAAATATAAACAAATTTTGAAAGTTTTTGAGTCCTTCTTAACTAATTGTGAGTTCATGTCATATCAGTTCAATGCAGTTGAAGAAATGATTTGAAAAGTATTAAATCCTTGATACTTTATGGTAGTACTTCAGGTTTTATTTGATCACGGCCTACCAGCCTGGATTTTGTTCTCTTCAATCATGACTATTGATGTGAAAGTCCGTGTTCATATATTATTTACTTCAAAACAGTAATATTTTTATTCAAATTTAGTATTTCTCTCCATAAAGGCTTCATCTGCGATTTTTATTTCAGGGGAGGGGGGAAGTGAAAACTCAGAAATGTATATATGACTTATTTTTAGTGGATCAAATTGAATTGAAATTTGTTTTTTTTTTTTCAGAATTTCTGCACAAGAACTGATCAATATGGAGATACACTTCGGGATGCTGCAGGTGGTAGTATATCAAGGATGCAGATGAGTTACTTGGAATGTAGTTTCCTTTTTTATTGATGTAAATATTTTATCTCGATCTTAGTGAGACATATTTTCCCATGTAAATGATTGAAATAAAAGTACATAACTTTGTTTGGAAATCAGTACATCACACAAAGAAGCATATTGGTCAAATATTGGATCAGGAATCGATTCATAATAATACTTTGAGGACCAATTTTGTCACTGCCAATACATGCATAATATGCTCTATTGTAGGAGGGATTTTTATGATGTGTGCATTAAGATTCTGTAGTAAGAAAGAAGTTATTCATACATAATTTGTCATGGGTTCAACTATTATAACTAAGTTAAAGTATACCTCTTTGTATAGCTAATGTTATTTTTCTGAAATTTCCAAATGCAAAATTCATCCATTAATGTTATGTACCAGTAGTTTCACTTATATAATTTTCAAAATGGCTTTGGATAC